ACTGGCACTATCACTAAAACTAACTGAAGACCTAGAACTAGAATCATTGGGGTTTAGCCGCACGTCTCTAAAGACGGCTAAACCCGAATGATTCTAGTTCTAGGTATAGTGTGAGTTCTAGTGATAGTGTAAGTGTAAAACTAGAACTAACACTACACCTAGAACTAGAAATTTTCGGGTTTAGCCGTGCGTCCTCAGACGAATGTTTCTAGTTCTAGATCTAGTGTTAATTCTAGTTTTATTTGTTATTTAGCGCCTGATTGTTGAATATTTTTATTGATCTATCACCAGAACTAACAGACCTAGAATGAAAAAGTTTTTTTCGTCGTTTTACGAATGGGTCAAAGATACGATGACAAAACGGTGATTAGTAAAATTGAGTTTATTATAAAATGATAAGATGTGTGTAAATTGCAATTTTAAAAATTTATTTTAATCCATAATCATGTTATCTTCTATCCAATCTAAATATAACGGAACTCTCGTGTAAACCTCGGGTTTTGTATTGTTGCAATCATCACCGTAGGACACCAACCCGATTTGAACCAACCCCTTATCGGTATAAGTAACCAAAGGACCTCCTGAGTCACCATTACAACTCCCCTTCATTGATCCACTCGTCATACAAAGATTAGTCGGATAAATATCCGAGTAATACTCTCTACATGTGTACCAAGGTATTGTTTTTAATTGGACGTAATTTAAGATTTCCGACGCAACACTAACCAATTTCTTCCCTGAATTAGTGAACCCCCATCCAACAACTGTTGCAGAAACTGGTAATCTATCATCATCAATATTTGTAGGGCTCGGCCTAATCGGGTGCACATTCGAATTAAAAATAAAGGGTTTTTTAACTCTCGCCAAGGCGATGTCGTTTATCACAGCATCGCTATCATAATTTTCGTGTGTTATTATCTTCTCAACAGTGTGGCGCTCACCTTCGCGCCAAATCACATTTCCCACCGTTATCATTACATCCTCTTCTTTTAAAACATCGTCACCTTCAACGAAACAATGACACGCGGTTAAAACGTAACGTTGATTTATAATTGCGCCACCGCAAACGTGTTGTTCTTCGTTTTGAATGCTTACAACGAAAGGCCATTGCCCATTAATGGCCGGGGTTCCATCGATGATCCGGGTTTTTTTCTTAATTTTAATCACTAAAATAAAATAAAATAAAATAAAAATCGATTTGAATTAAGATTGGAATTAAGTTACAGGGTTGATTTTTTCTGTTGAAATCATAACCATCGATGGATTTAATTAATATCGTAATCGCAAAAATAACGAAGATTATTACTTTTAACATTTTAAACAAGATATTTTTTTTTGTAACATTTTACTACAATCAACGTGATAATTTAAACCTACACGATTTAATTGTTTTGTTGGTCACTTCATGCACACCTTTTATTTTATTTATTTATTAACCCACAAAAAAAAACAATGCACATTACAAAACAAATCGAAACAATCTTAATCTTCTTGATAATAAAATGTTACTCCACGAGATTAAACCAAAACGTAAAATCAAAACGAATCATCGATGGCAGATTATCACCTCCAGGTCTACACACGTTCGTGGCGAGCATCTCCGTGCATGAGTATCATCGATGTGGAGGAACGATCGTTTCAAAATCGTACATTTTAACGGCCGCTCATTGTTGTTACGATAAAGATGAAAATGTCCTGAAAGAATCGAAAATTACGGTGTCGTTGGGAAGCGTTTATTGGGAAGAAGGTAAAATTAGAAACGTTACGAAAATTATAATTCATCCGTTGTTTGATCGAAAACTTAAAAAGAACGATATTTCCTTGTTAAGGATCGATAAAATTCGGTTAAAAAAAAAAGAAATCTCAACGATTAAACTTTACCCATCAAGAATTGACCGTAACATAGACGAAGAAAATTTGTTAAAAGCTACAGTCATTGGATGGGGACTTTTTAATGATGGATCATCTTTAGGTGATACTCCATCCAATCGATTGCGTTATGTCGATGTATATATTGTGCCTGAATATTATTGTAAGATGATTTATTACAAATTTCATAGCACAAATCTTTGCGTAAGTAGTGAGGATATGAGAGGTTCTTGTAGTGGTGATTCAGGTGGACCACTCGTTATTAAACGTAGAAATAAATTTTATCAGATTGGATTGGTTTCTTATGGTGGTGATTGCAATAACACCCAACCGGAAGTGTATACGAAACTTTTTGATTATATTCATTGGATTAAAGATATTATTTCAATAAAAAGTTAAATATTTTTTAATTCAACAAAATCATTGTTCAACCCAACCCAACTTTCTTCCATAGTCCTCGAAAAGGAACTCTAGTTCTTCCTCCTCATATCCAGTGTTTTATAATGTCCTGGAACTTCTTTTCGACCTTAATGATTCTTAATAATAAGCGTTTTATTGTTTCTTTTTCTCCCTTTCCTAATATAATACAATACAATTTATATATACAACCTCCAGATCCTCTACACACATCTTATTTTAGCCGTGCGTCTGAGGACGCACGGCTAAACCCGAAAATTTCTAGTTCTAGGTCTAGTGTTAGTTCTAGTTTTACACATACACTATCACTAGAACTCACACTATATCTAGAACTAGAATCATTCGGGTTTAGCCGCACGTCTCTAAAGACGGCTAAACCCAAATGATTCTAGTTCTAGAAATAGTGCTAGTTTCAGTTTCACACTTGCACTATCACTAGAACTCACACTATATCTAGAACTAAAATCATTCGGGTTTAGCCGTCTTTAGAGACGTACGGCTAAACCCGAATGATTCTAGTTCTAGGTATAGCGCTAGTTTCAGTTTTACACTTACGCTATCACTAGAAATCACACTATACCTAGAAATAGAATCATTTGGATTTAGCCGCACGCCTCTAAAGACAGCTAAACCCAAATGATTCTAGTTCTAGGTATAGTGCTAGTTTCAGTTTTACACTTACACTATCACTAGAACTGACACTATACCTAGAACTAGAATCGTTCGGGTTTAGCTGCACGTCTCTAAAGACGGCTAAACCCGAATGATTCTAGTTCTAGAAATAGTGCTAGTTTCAGTTTCACACTTGCACTATCACTAAAACTCACACTATATCTAGAACTAGAATCATTCGGGTTTAACCGTCTTTAGAGACTTGCGGCTAAACCCAAATGATTCTAGTTCTAGGTATAGTACTAGTTTCAGTTTTACACTTACACTATCACTAGAACTCACACTATACCTAGAAGTAGAATCATTTGAGTTTAGCCCCACGTCTCTAAAGACGGCTAAACCCGAATGATTCCAGTTCTAGGAATAGTGCTAGTTTCAGTTTTACACTTACGCTATCACTAGAAATCACACTATACCTAGAAGTAGAATCATTTGGATTTAGCCGCACGTCTCTAAAGACGGCTAAATCCAAATGATTCTAGTTCTAGGTATAGTGCTAGTTTTAGTTTTACACTTACACTATCACTAGAACTCACACTATACCTAGAACTAGAATCGTTTGGGTTTAGCCGCACGTCTCTAAAGACGGCTAAACCCGAATGATTCTAGTTCTAGAAATAGTGCTCGTTTCAGTTTCACACTTGCACTATCACTAAAACTCACACTATATCTAGAACTAGAATCATTCGGGTTTAGCCGTCTTTAGAGACGTGCGGCTAAACCCGAATGATTCTAGTTCTAGGTATAGTGTTAGTTTCAGTTTTACACTTACACTATCACTAGAACTGACACTATACCTAGAAGTAGAATCATTTGAGTTTAGCCCCACGTCTCTAAAGACGACTAAACCCGAACGATTCTATTTCTAGGAATAATGCTAGTTTCAGTTTTACACTTGCGCTATCACTAGAACTCACACTATATCTAGAACTAGAATCATTCGGGTTTAGCCGTCTTTAGAGACGTGCGGCTAAACCCGAATGATTCTAGTTCTAGGTATAGTGCTAGTTTCAGTTTTACACTTACACTATCACTAGAACTCACACTCTACCAAGAAGTAGAATCATTTGGGTTTAGCCCCACGTCTCTAAAGACGGCTAAACCGCTAGAAACTAGTAGCTAAAACTAGTTCTAGTTTTACACTTGCACTGTCACTAAAACTAACATTAGACCTAGAACTAGAAACATTCGAGTTTAGCCGTGCGTCTCATAAGACGGCTAAAGTCAAATGATTCTAGTTCTTGGTCTAGTGTTAATTCTACTTTTAGTTCAATAAAAATATACAACAATCTAGCGCTGCATAACAATTAAAACTAGAACTAAAGCGAAGTTTTTACATGCACGGATTACTGGCGCCAATTCATTTGCATATGGAAATAGCAAAAAATCACTGGCGCCAATAAATTGGTGCCTGTAATCATAGCGCTAATAAAGTTGACGCTACTTCTACCTTTTGGCGCCAGTAACAATGTTTATAAAGAAAACGTGTAACTATTAACTTGTTCGTCCAACTAAAATGAACAAATCGGCTAATAAATCGTCCAAAAAATGGACATGAGAAGAAACAGTTTAATTTCTAGAAACGTATGAACAATATTCCTTGTTTGTGGAATCAGAAAATTCCACAATATAAGGACCGACTAGCACGAAATGAAACAGTCAGAAGGATAGTTGAAATTATAAAAAGCAAAGTTCCTAATTTTGACGAAACCTCAGCTAAAGCAAAAATACGAAGTATACGTAATGCATATACAATTGAATACCATAAAGTACTTTTCACCATAAATCACTTCACATATAAACTTAGAAATTGTGCTTTTTGGCAAATGATACATATGTATATTGTAAGGATGTAGAAGAATCTCTAGAAGCCAAAAATCTTAAAATTGCTTGCAGTTTTACGTGAGCTAGGTTGGCATCTCTTATATGCCTATGTTGTTTTTGTATTTTAGAGGATACTTGCCTCAATAAAACATGAAACTCACTTCAGTCATTCTTAAATGATTAAAAAATGGTTGTTGATCTTCATGGCATAATTCTCTAATTAAAGTACTAGACGCACCTAGGTTATTTCTACGTGCAATCCACGATCTAATCCAGCAACTATGTTTTCGCTTTTTCTTGTTAATAACGTGTGCAGTTCCAAGGAGTACATTTGGAGTACCATATTGATGCCAGCGCGAAGTACATCACTTGACAGCATTTTTATTACTGTGCCAGTACACAATTATAACATTTATGTGGAAACAACTTCGTACTGACGCCAGTAATCCGTGCATTTGGAAACTTAGCTTAACACTAAGACGTCTGAAGACGCACGGCTAAATCTGAAACTTTTTAGTTCTTGGTCTAGTGTTAGTTCTAGTTTTAATTCAATGAAAAATACACAACAACTCGGTCCAGTATAGTGCTAACTAGCGACATCTAGCACTGTCATTAAAACTAACACTAAACCTAGAACTAGAAACATTCGAGTTTAGCCATGCATCTGAAGACGCACGATTTTTCCACTTGGGAAAAAAGCTGACACCTCTAAATCCTTCACCCCACCATTAGGCCGTTGATTTATGTACCGGTAATGTGTATTTATTACCAGTACTAATTTGTAGGCGTATGGGAGTAGTTTGTGAGTCCTTGAGTATGCTTGATTTCGAAGTGCGTGCATAAACAAGTATTTTAATCGATTATATAAAAAACAAATTGAAGGTAAGTGAGCTGCGTTACTGTTTTATTGCAAAAACAGAGTATTCATCAAATTATGAAGCCAGTTCTTTCATATTGTTCGCATATTCCTTGATTTTGTCAAAAAAATATCGCGATCTATGTACAGATCACCGGATGCTTACAGTAAATTTTTTTTCTACATTTTAGTATAAGTAGAAGAGGAGTTTTTAAAAATCTCCAAGATGAAATAGACTACTTGTATTCTGAGCATATTGAAACGAATATATTAGCTTTGGCACAAGAAGTAGATGAGCTGACAAACGAGGAAGTCCTTGATGAAGAAAGTACTGAGTTTCCTAATGTACGAGATATTGCCGAGTTTGTTGAGATTGAAGCTCACGATTTGGAAGAAAGTGATGAAGAAGATAATGTACCATTAGCATTTCTCGCACCTGTGCAGAAGAACCGGAAATTGGAAAAACCTAAGAACATAAATGTAAATTGGAGTAAAATGAACCCAACTTATAAAACATGCTGGTCAGAAAAATAAACACAAATTTATGATCACAAAAAATGTGATCAAAACTTTTATTGGCTTTATTGCATTTAGCGGCTACCACATTTTACCAGCTGAGCGCGATTATTGGCCAGACGACGACGATTTGTGACAGCCTATTGTGAAAAATGTTATGAGCAGAAATGTTTATCTTGACATAATGTTTTTGATACATTTTCAGAATAATACCAAAGCTAAATAAAATAGGGGCGATAAATCTTTTAAAATTAGACCGTTGTTAGATATGGTAAATGCAAATTTTCAAAATTTTGGTATATATCAAGAAAATCTGTCCATAGATGAAATATTGTACGGTATTATGGACACTACTCACTAAAACAGTTCATAAAGGGTAAACCAATACGATTTGGTAACAACCTCTGGACACTTTGTGCCGAAGATGGATATTGTTATTTCTTTTTTCCTTTCTACTGGCAAGGAAAGCTGATCACAATCAAAATCTTGGCTAAATCGGAATGATTCTAGTTCTAGATCTTATGTTAGTTCTAGTGATAGTGCTAGTATAAAATTAGAACTAACATTATACCTAGAACTAGAATCATTCGGGTTTAGCTGTCTTTCTATTCCCGAATGATTCTAGTACTAGGTATAGTGTTAGTTCTAGTGACAGTGCAAGTGTAAAACAAAACTAACACCATACTTAGAACTAGAATCATTCGGGTTTAGCCGTCTTTAGAGACGTGCGGCTAAACCCAAATGATTCTAGTTCTAGGTATAGTGTTAGTTCTACATAGTAACAGTGCTAGTGTAAAACTAGAACTAACACTATACCTAGAACTAGAATCATTCAGTGTTAGTTCTACATAGTAACAGTGCTAGTGTAAAACTAGAACTAACACTAGACCTAGAACTAGAATCATTTGGGTTTAGTCGTGCGTTTGAAGACCGAATGTTTCTAGTTCTAGGTCTAATGTTAGTTCTAGTGACAGTGTAAGTGTAAAACTGGAACTAACACTATACCTAGAACTAGAATCATTCGGGTTTAGCCGTCTTTAGACACGTGCAGCTAAACCCAAATGATGTAGAACTAACACTATACCTAGAACTAGAATCATTCGGGTTTAGCCGTCTTTAGAGACATGTGGCTAAACCTGAATGGTTCTAGTTCTAGGTCTAGAGTTAGTTCTAGTGACAGTGCAAGTGTAAAACTAGAACTAACACTATACCTAGAACTAGAATCATTCGGGTTTAGCCGTCTTTAGAGACGTGGGGCTAAACCCAAATGATTCTACTTCTAGGTATAGTGTGAGTTCTAGTGATAGTGTAAGTGTCAAACTGAAACTAGCACTATACCTAGAACTAGAATCATTCGGGTTTAGCCGCAAGTCTCTAAAGACGGCTAAACCAGAATGATTCTAGTTCTAGATATAGTGTGAGTTCTAGTGATAGTGCAAGTGTAAAACTGAAACTAGCACTATACCTAGAACTAGAATCATTCGGGTTTAGCCGTCTTTAGAGACGTGCGGCTAAACCCAAATGATTCTAGTTCTAGGCATTGTGTTAGTTCTACATAGTAACAGTGCTAGTGTAAAACTAGAACTAACACTAGACCTAGAACTAGAAAGTTTCAGGTTTAGCCGTGCGTCTTCAGACTCTAGTTTTTTTAGTTTTATACTAGCACTATCACTAGAACTAACACAAGACCTAGAACTAGAATCATTCCGATTTAGCCGTATTGAGTATCGACCTTACAATGATGATTGTAACAATACAAAACCCGTGGTTTACACGAGAGTTCCGTTATATTTAGATTGTATAGAAGATAACATGATTATGGATTAAAATAAATTTTAAAAATATTGCAATAAACACCCACCTTATCATTTTATCAATTAACCCTCCCACATCATCGCGCCGAATTGATTTCAACACAACAATGAAATTAACTCGGTGTTATTTTTTCGTAATCTCTCAAATCCTCTTCTTCGAAACAACGAAATCAGTTCAAAATAGAATCATAAACGGCACAATATCTCTCCCAGCTGAACATCCCTACACAGCCGCTTTAATTTACTACAACGAATATCATTGTGCAGGGTCGATAATCTCACCAAACTACATTCTAACAGCCGCGCATTGTTTCGTCGATTTAAACGTTGATAAAACCACATATTTATCGATCCAACATTTTGAAATTTCCGTAGGCAGCGAAGAATGGGACAAAGGAAAACGGTACAAAATCAAGAGAACCGTGCAACACCCTCAGTACGTAAACGAATTTCTTTATAACGATATAGTTTTAGCGAACATTGAAACGAAACTTCAATTTAACGATCACGTTAAATGGATTCCGCTTTATCCGCATTTTTTAAAAGATAATAAAATTAAGGTGGTTGGAAAAGTTATGGGGTGGGGATACACCAACGATGGGTATTTCTTGAAAGCTGAAGAATCGAAACATTTACGAACAGTCGTGTTAGAATCGATACCGTTGATGGAGTGCAAAAAAATGGCCCAATATATTAGGAAATCCAACATTTGCATGTGGGGGGTTCAAAAGGGGACTTGTACCGGGGATTCTGGGGGACCCTTAGTCGTAAAAATTAACAAGGTGGTTTATCAAATCGGATTAGTTTCTTATGGCACCGATTGTAATAACACCACCCCAGAAATTTACACGAGAATTTCGTCGTTTTATGGATGGATCTCGAAAAATGTGCATTTACCACATCCTTTAACCGGTTATAATTGATTTATTATTTATTTTAATTAAGGTGTTAAAGAAAATCATAAATAAAATCTATAAAATGTTTTAATTTATTTATTTTTTTTATAAACTCAATTTTACTAATCACCATTTTATCATCGTATCTTTGACCCATTCGTAAAACGACGAAATACTTGTGCATCTCTGAGGATGGCTAAAACCGAAACTTTCTAGTTGTAGGTTTGTTAGTTCTGGTGATAGCTCAATAAAAATATTCAACAATCAGGTGCTAAATAACAAATAAAACTAAAACTAACACTAGATCTAGAACTAGAAACATTCGGGTTTAGCCGCACGTCTCTAAAGACGGCTAAACCCGAATGATTCTAGTTCTAGGTATAGTGTTAGTTCTAGTTTTATACTTACACTGTCACTAGAACTTACATTAGATCTAGAAGTAGAATCATTTGGATTTAGCCGCACGTCTCTAAAGACGGCTAAACCCGAATGATTCTAGTTCTAGGTATAGTGTTAGTTCTAGTTCTATACTTGCACTGTCACAAGAACCAACAATAGACCTAGAACTAGAAACATTCGGGTTTAGCCGTGCGTCTCATAAGGCGGCTAAAGCCGAATGATAGTTAGTTCTAGTTTTACACTAGCACGATTACTATGTAGAAATAACACTATACCTAGAACTAGAATCATTTGGATTTAGCCGCACGTCTCTAAAGACGGCTAAACCCGAATGATTCTAGTTCTAGGTATAGTGCTAATTTCAGTTTTACACTTGCACTATCACTAGAACTAACACTATACCTAGAACTAGAATTATTTGGATTTAGCCGCACGTTTCTAAAGACGGCTAAACCCGAATGATTCTAGTTCTAGATATAGTGCTAGTTTCAGTTTTACACTTGCACTATCACTAGAACTCACACTATACCTAGACCGGCTAAAGCCGAATGATTCTAGCTCTTGGTCTAGTGTTAGTTCTACTTTTAGTTCAATAAAAATATACAACAATATAGCATTGCATAACAATTAAAACTATTATTATCGATAATAATAACTTGTTCGCGTCATGTCAATACGGATTTCGTCAGAATCGTAGTACACGATTATGGATTTTGTACACCAGGCAACAGACTGTTATGAAAGAGGCGAGTATATGACAACTACATTTTGCGACCTCAGCAAGGCCTTTGATTATATAAACCATAATTCATTAATAAAGAAGCTGAGTAGGTATAATTTTGATGACAGTAGTATTAAGGTGATTCAATTGTACCTTGGTGGCAGAAGACAAATAGATAGCTATTCTACATCAGAGTGCATTTCTATTGGAGTTCCACAAGGATCAGTGGTGGGGCCTTTGCTTTTCCTCATTTACATAAATGACTTGCCTGCTTCAATATCTAAGTCTTCAATCATATTTTATACTGACGACACTATTTTAATCAGCAGACAAAAACTCCTTATTGATGCTGTTGCAGTAAATCGGGCGTCGCTCTGCGTGCAACGGTCTAAATCTGAATTCCAACAAAACAGCTGAAGCTATCTTTACACTAAGAGGCGTTCAGAAAGATCTGATGGATGAGCAATATGTAGATTTTTTGGGTGTTCGCTTAGACACCACATTGATATGGGACCAGCATGTAGGTATACTTTGCGGAAGGCTGAGCAGCAACATTCTGACCTACTCGGGTTGGTCTAGGATTTTTCGGCTGCAGCGACGTGCCATTCGTGTCATATGTGGTTTGAAATATTGAGACGAGTGCCATGAGTTGTTCCTAGATTAGAAAGTATTTTAATAGATTATATAAAAAACAAATTGAAGGTAAGTTAGCTGCGTTATTCTTTGAAATTGTTCGTAGATTCTTTGATTTTGTCAAAAAAATATGCTTACAGAAAAATTTTTTTCTACTTTTTAGTATGAGTAGAAGAGAAGTTTTTAAAAATCTCCAAGATATAATGGACTACTTGTATTATGAGAAAATAGAAGTGGATATATTAGCTTTGTCGTCAGAAGTAGATTAGCTGACTAATGAGGAAATCCCTTGAGTGAGTATCTCTTGGCAGTCGAGTTGTTTTGAAATTAGGGTTTAGCCGTTTTTAAAGACGTGCGGCTAAACCCAAATGTTTCTAGTTCTAGGTCTAATGTAAGTTCTAGTGACAGTGTAAGTGTAAAACTAGAACTAACACTAACACTAGACGTAGAACTAGAATCATTCGGGTTTAGCCGTCTTTAGAGACGTGCGGCTAAACCCGAATGTTTCTAGTTCTAGGTCTAGTGTAAGTTCTAGTGACAGTGTAACTGTAAAATTAGAACTAACACTAGACGTAGAACTAGAATCATTCGGGTTTAGCCGTCTTTAGAGACGTGCGGCTAAACGTCTAGTGTTAGTGTCAGTTCTAGTTTTACACTTACACTGTCATTAGAA